ATAATGAATGGTCAATTAGTTACCAAGATCATGTTCTCATCAAACCATCCCCTTCATAAACCCATCTAGTTTAATCTTGAAACCAGATAGATCTTTTGCCCCCACTACTTCCCTTGGAAGGCCGTTCCAGAACTTCACTCCTCTAATGGTTAGAAACCTCTCATGAATTCTCTCCCTGCAGCAGCTTGGGGTAGATAAGAAGCGCCTCTCCATGGCTGCCCCAAACCAGCAGGCACCACAGGGAGGAATTCATGTGACCTGACTGGGGCTTGTCCCGTCCATCCCCTTCTGCACTCCCCAGCCACAGTGAGTGATGCAGCCAACGGCACATCCACCGCCTCTGCCAATTTCCCCTCGCTCCATGCTGGGGCAACAGCGAGCACGGGGCAGGGAGCTGCTCCCCCGCCCCATCCCTAATGGATTCTTGGAGGAAAAGAGACTTTGGACAGTCCCAGACAGAAGGGAAAGGGGACGGGTGTGTGTCTCTTTCCTGTGTGGTGTGCTGAGCGGAACTTGCTTTGAAGCGAGGATAAGACACAGTTGCCTAGCACATTGGGTGGTCCTAGCTCCTACCGCTTCAGAGGAGTGCTCGCACGGACAGACTTACGGACAGAAACAGACAGACAGGCCGACTCTTTCAAATATAGTGGAATCGTGTGATAATTTACTTATCAAAGCCAACGATTAGAACTTGCCCGCAGGCTCCTCTGCCCGGCGATGCCCAGTTCCCACCGGGGAGAGGCTGACTGTCATTTGCCTTGCTGGCCCAGGGGCTGGGCAGTAGGGTTAGCAGAATGGAGCCAAACGTGCTCGGGTGGCTCTATGGGCGGGGACTGTCCGTAGGCGCTCTTCTTTTTGCACTTTGGGATTAATGTCGAGTCGGGCGTCCTACTGGCCATGGGGTTCGATCGATACGTCGCTGTCTGCGACCCCCTGAGGTACACGACTGTCCTCACCAATGAGAGGATCGGGAAAATAGCCACGGCCATTGTGTTCAGAAGCTTTTGTATAAATGTGCCTGTTGTTTTTCTCGTCAAACGGCTGCCCTTCTGCGCAAGCAACGTCATCCCACACTCCTACTGTGACCACATCGGGGTGGCCAGGCTGGCCTGTGCGGATATATCCATAGATATCTGGTATGGCTTAGCAGTGCCTATTGCAAATATTATACTAGACTTTCTGCTTATCGCTGTGTCTTATGTGCTTATTCTCAGGGCTGTCTTCAAGCTGCCCACAAAAGAGGCCCAGCACAAATCTCTCAGCACCTGCAGCTCCCACGTCTGTATCATCCTCTTATTTTTCATCCCAGCCTTTTTCACTTTCCTAACCCACCGCTTTGGCCACAATATCCCTAAACACGTTCACATCCTGCTGGCCGATATCTACGTGCTCATCCCCTCTGTGCTAAACCCCGTTGTTTACGGGATAAAAAGCAAGCAGCTGCGGGTGCAAATGGTCTGCGTGTTGTCTCGGAAAGGGAGATGGTGTTGAGACAGAGCTATGAGATTTACTAACAGGGTTCTTCCTCAACGCAAGGTGAGGGCCTCGTGGCACTGAAGAATGGACATTAACACTTTAATTCCTTGTAGCAAAACAGAGATTTTCCTCACTGGGGATGTTTCTTTGTAGCTCTAGGATAAGGTCTGTGACACTTTTCCCACACCCCCGTGCTCCCTCCATACTATGAAATGGATGGATGGATATGAATATACATAACTCAAAAGTGCTTTCAGATAATTAGTTCGTGTAACCCCTCAATCTTCACGTGTCACGTCACGATCTTCTGGGTCTCTTTCTCTTACATTGCCGTGTGTATCATTGGTGTGTGTAAGTTTAGATCTATGGAATAGGGAATTTTCTGCGGGTTTCAGATGTGTGAATGAGAGAAATGAAGGGTGTTACCTACAATCTCTTTTGGCCTTAAGGCTGAGCAGGATTTGGTCGGGAGGTGCCTCAATAATTTAACAAAAAGAATAGGAAAGCAGAGGTCTTGGTCTTTTGGCTGGGCTGCAGCTGAAGGAAAGGAGACGAAGACGCCAGGACAGGGAGACAGCCATGGTTTGTGGCGCAGCTGGAGAAGAAGTTTTAAGATGAGGGAATCAGAGTCAGGAAAATGAGAGAGAGTGAGGTGCAGAAGCAACGGGAGCTGTGCAGACTCTGAGAAGCAGACAGGGTGGTTGTCATGATCATGAGTGTTAGCCAGCAGTCTTGGACGTAGGATATGTCTACACTGCCTCTCTAGTTAGAACTAGGGTGGCTAATGTAGTCATTCGAATTTGCAAATGAAGCCTGGGATTTAAATATCCCAGGCTTTATTTGCATGTTCCTGGGTGCCATCATTTTTAAATGCCCCGTAGTTCAAACTACCTGCCCGCAGCTACACGTGGCACAGCTTCGTAGTTCGAATTAAAGCTCCAAATTCGAATTACCGTTACTCCTCATTTCAGGGTAAAGTTTAGATAAATCCATTAGGTTTTATTGTTTTATCATTTAGGGAATGGGGTGTGGTATCTGTGCACTTTTAAACGATGTTTTGGCTTTCCTTTGTCACTAAGTCCTGGGCCCATGGTAGAGTTTCTCCACGAGCATTATTGTATTTCTTTTCCATCTGGTCATTCGGCTTGCAACAGGAATATTGTGTTGATACTAAAAGTTCTTTCTCTGTTCTTCTTATTAACCTTGTATTGTTTAATTGTTCTGTCCTGGTTTTTATTTTAGGGATGAGATTTCCCAAGTGATCTTTCCCCTGGTTTCTTTATTAATACTTGGGTGGTGGCCGTGGAGATTTTATTCCCAAAATCTAGCTTGTTGAGATATTGGGAAGAAATTTTATATCAAAGCTTGGTAGGTAAGGTTTTGGGGTACTTATGCTGGTCCCCACTTCTGAATTTATCATGCCAGCATGGGGAAGGAGACGTGAGAGAGGTGGAACACAAGAGACTGGTGGAGTTAAAGCAGCATGAGATAGAAGCCGCAAAAGTCGAAGTTGGCTGGGAGAAAATCCTAAAATGCAGATGACTTGACATGGACGGAGAAGGAAGAGCTTGAAGAGCCCCGTTTGAGAGAAGAGGGAAGGAGAGAGGCTGCACGACCTGGGTGGGTTGTTCTGGCTGAGAACTTGGCACCATTGACTCAGGGAAATGACCGTTGTAAGGTGGCTGAGTCCATGCCAGGGGTTTTCAGCAGGGGTAAGGGATCGTGGGCTCAAATCCCAGAAGGGGAGGGAAACACCACAGGGCCTGGGGAGGGGACAGGAGAGAGTCTCTCCCATTCTCCTCCAGCTGAGTGGGACAGTTTGTGGGTAGTGGGAGGGGCAGAGGAAACCAGCCCAGACTTAGCCCAGGGGCAGTGGGTCTGTCCAGGCTGTGGTAAGGTGGGGGATGGGAACAACAGGTTCAGGTCCAATCCCTGGAGGCACAGAGAGGTGTGAGCCTTGGAGCAGAGCCTTCAGGCAGAGGTTGGAGGCCAAAAGGCGAGTATGGGAGCCAAGGAATCCAGGGGCCTGGTGGGTTTACTCCAGGAGGAAACAGGATAGACTGCCGGGCTTCCCAACAGAAAGTCTGTCCTCTCTGGGAACTGAGTGCCTGCAGCTGGCCAGGTGTGAAATGGCTCGAGGGGGGGGGGGCAAGATGTGTCCTCCATCCCTGGCAGGGGATGCTGGGAGGTGGATGCTGAGTGTGTGTCCGTAAACCCAAGCTGCCCACCTGTCAGTCATGCGTCAGGGGGCAGTGGTGAGTCTGTACTCCCAGTGCGGGGTGACTCTGCCTTCAGCTCCATGGAAGCAGAATGTGAGGTACTAGGGGAACTCCAGGGTCAGAACACAAGTGCCAGACACTGATTTGGCCCTTGATGTGACACAGGGAGGGGTAAGTCCCGGGCTGTCTGTAAATGCATGGGAGCCTGCTAATGTAACGCCTCAGGGAAGGAGCAAGGAATCCCTCAGCAGGGGGAGGGGAAAGTTTCTCCTTTGGGAATGCTTTCCTTCCCGGCACCTCCAAGGAGGGCTTGACATGGCCTACACTGAAGAGAGAGACACCTCTTGTTGAATGCTCCCCCCTTTGGCACACAGAGGTTGTAAAAGGGGGAAGAGGTACCGTGCCCCACACATGGTCTAGAGAGGGAGCATGGTATGAAGACCATTCTCGGAAATGCTGCTCTGGCATTGGTTTGCTGGTGATCTCATGTATTTCTGCGCAACTCTGATGGTTTAGCACAAAGAGACTGATATGGATGATAAACCTCTTGAAACTGTGGGACATGCTTAAGATTTTGGGGAAAAAATGATACCTGCTGGGGACAGGAGTAAAAGGATCCCAGGATCACGCAGCTTCTAAGCTAATGACTGTGCATAGACCTGGGCATAGCAGCAGAGGCACAAGTAACCTCCATGGCTGTCTGGAAGGGGAAACTGAGGCACACTGCGATGGTGACTAAATAGCAAGATGTTTGCACATGGAGAAACATTGCTATCTGCATTCTGGGGGCACTGCTACACCCCCTTGTGTTGTGGACCATCGGAGGACTAGAACCCACAACTTTGGAAGAACTGGCATGGGTGACAGCACAAGGTTTGGTGACACCGGATGGCTGTGCAGCCAAAGTCCTGGTGGTCTTGTGGGTACACGGGCTTTGCATTGCACGCTCTCCAGCCCTCTGGCAGTAATTTCAGGGGGAAGATGTGTTGGATCCTCCTCCCCTCCCCTCTACATGCTTTATGATATGGATGTATGCACATGAATATTCATAAATCAAAGGTGCTTTGAACGAATAATTTCATGTGTAAGTCCCCGTAATACACGAGGTTTGAAGGGATGCCGGAAAGGATGAGACCACAACTGGGGGTTTCAAAAAGCACAAACTGATTTTATTTTGATGGCGCCAGACAATCATCAGAACAAAAATTAAACAGATTGCCAGACAACACAAAACAATTCCCTGAGGCTTTTCTAAATCACAATAATTCCCAATAACTGCCCAGGGGTTAGGAACAGTTGAATTAACACTGGTATTGTCCATAGGGCTGATTATTTACACAACTTTATACAAGGAAACAGTAAAAAACCTAAACCACAACTATTTATAAACTAACTTAGTAACTTTTTAGCCACTGTCACTTGGCAAGCAATAAGGACAACTAAAAAATCAATTAGGATAGGGATGATGGTGGGGGGGAGGGGGTGTTATACCAGTTCTGGAGACAGCAGGAACACAAGTACCGGTCACACACTCATAAACTGTCTCCACTCGGGTCGACCAACTCGGAGTACGCTCAGTAAGACTCAAGAGCGGGGGGTGCAAGGCGTCTGGGTGATCAGGCCAGGCGTTCACTCAATGCGAATCCCCAGTGAGAGAGGGGCTGCCTGCCTGTTTTATTGCCTGTGAACTTATCACCCCATAGGTTGGTTTTTGTTGCAGTGGGTGGAGTAGCAGGCCTGAGCACCAGTCAGCCCACTGGCTGATCTGTTACTGAAATGGGTGGAGCGAGCAGGGGAAGATTATTAATTTACATGCCCTTATATGGAAAACACTCCACCTCACAGACAGAGCCCCCTATACCAGCCTCAGAGGTATTACAGGCTATGGCTCCCTGCGACGGGCAGCCATTTCTGATGTTCTGTCTCGGACATCATGCAACCCATCAATCCTAAACTCATGATCCACTAGTTGAGTTTATCTTACTTCAATGTGCATATCATTGGTGTGTGTGAAATTTGCCATATGGAGGGTGGAACATTTTGTGGGTTTCAAATGTGTGAATTAGAGTCAGGGAGGGTGTTACCCTCAATTGTCAAACAATCGCTTTTATCCTTAAGACTGAGCAGTGGATGTCAATTTCTTAACAAAAATAATAAGAAAGCAGAGGCCTGAGTCTTTTGGGTGGGCTACTCCTGAAGGAAGGAGCTAAAGACCCCAGGGTGGGGAGACAGCTCTGGTTTGGAGCTGTGACCTAGCAGGCCGGGTCTCGGCACAGCTGAGGGCGTCCTCTCAGGGTGAATTGCTCAAAACCAGGGCTCCTTACAGCCCTCGACTGGAGACCTTTCCCAAGAAGGCCACAAACCAGTCACAAAGAGCACTTCAGCTGCCAATCCAGCCAGCAGGAAGCCTCACGAGCAAAACCCCTCTGACAACCCAGCTCTCCCTAGGCCACATTCAGACCCAGGCCTAACACAGGAATGTCCCTAAAACAATACCGGGGTGAGTGATCATTCTTTGACTCCTGGTCCTTTAATGACTCAGCTTTAGTTTGTGCGCTTTGTTTCACCGTCTTAATAATCCATTTTGTTCCTTTTCTTACCTCTTTCACCACTTACCACCCACCTGTTTTGTAATTAATAAATTCACTTCTGGTTAATACTGTTCTCCAGTTTATGGGATTTCGAATTGGGGTAACACGGGGTTGTGCAGGGCTCCCTCCACATTGAGGGTGGGGTGAATTTCATATACTTTTGGCTGTGCACTCCAAGAGAGATGGCCACCTCCATGCACTGGCC